TGCTGCCGGCTGACTGAATGAGAAAATTATTTATTGGCTTAGACTGCATTGCACCGTAATGAATTAAACCAGTTCTAAGAACGTGACAACAAGATTAAAAATCCAATCTAGCTACGAGTCACATGTAGAATATGAGTATAACTTTACACAGTTGCACTTGCATTTGAGTTCTATCTAAACAAATAATATAATTAAAATGAAACATCCTCTGTTGTATTACGCCAGTTCGCGGAGAATAATTGCAACAATAAATTGACTTTATGCTCCGCGCTCTTCGTTGTTACCCAACTGATGCATTTCGTTAAGGAGACGGGTTTTGAGAGGCTACTTAGATATAGAGACTGTGAGATTATGTCTTTAGTGCAAAAATTAAATCCATTATACTCTTAGCTACAATTCTAACGTGAGATCAAGATTAAAGATCTGTTTTATCAATCAAAATTCCTATTATATAACCTTGATTAATTTTGCATGATATAGTTTCAATAGGTTAAAGTCACGGGGGCGATTATGATAGAATTATTAATCACATACCGATAATTTGGAACACTTAGATGCTTTATTTAAGACCGAAAACAAATGACAAAGTAGTTTAATATATTTAAAACAGATTTAGAGAAAGTGAGGAAACTAGAGATCTCTATTGTCTCTGAGTAAATCAGTTAGATTTTGTAACGAATTTCTTCTAAACTAGTGACCCAGGCGAAGCCGGTGATCGATTAATATGGCGTCCTTTAGATTTCAGATAATCATCAAAGACCAAATAAATTATTTATTTTTCTATCTCTCTAGTGAAGTTTCATTATAATGTGAACGGGTTGTAATGAAACTTCACGAACAGATGGAGAGCATTGCCAGGAGTGATTTAGGCTGTAGTTCATCAGAAAAATTTGGAGATTATTTTTTATAATCGAAAGATAGAAGTTAGAGTTAAACAAAAAAGAATTAAGTATAGTTACTCATGTCTAAATGGATGCCGACAACTCACTCAACTCAACAAAAGGCAGTTATTTTGATACTACAGACTCCACGTTTATCTATACTGGATGAATTTTTACCGTCTTAAAAAAAGAGTGTAACAGGTGAACGGAATAGAAGCCTATTGCACTGATATTTTACATTAACATATTATGAAATTGGTCTATTAATAAATACTACTACCTTGAAGTAAACTTTAGATACTAAAATTAACAACAAATTTTTGATATAAATAAATGAAATATTATAGAAATAAAAATAAAACGTACCCAAATTGGTATTTATTGATAGATCAATTTCGTAATATGTTAATGTAAAAAAAATGTAAAATATCAGTGAAATAAGCTTCTTTACCGTTCACCTGTTACACTGTTTTTTTTTTCAGATGGTAAAAAAATTACCAAGTATAAATTACGTAAATCGGTTAAAAATTTTCCTACAGGTCGGTTACTTTCGGTTCATTTTGTATTATTTCAGTCTGTCAAATGTTTTTCTACCTATTGGAAGTCTTTCAGCCTTTCAAGTTTTGTCACTTTCCTACTGTAATAAACGAACAAAAAGCACAATCGGAACGTCACGAATGAAAAATAAGATTAAATTATTATCATAACCTTTATTTTAATTCTTTATAACTCTTGAGCTACTTCCATCCATCGACATCCTGCACATCATCAAACTCTTAAATTTAAACTGTTCAAATAAAGAAGCCTTAAGCAGCTCTTTACTAAATGAAAACAATACAATCGTTTGGACTTAATGGAGTAGATGTAAGCATATCTCAACGAAATAGCAAATGCTGCCTTTTCTCCGAGCTCCGCGCCACACTGCGCTCTTTAATGAAATGCATCATCTTGTGTAACACCAGCAGAGGAACATAAAGCAGTTTAACTGTTGCTATTATTCTCCACTGTTCGGAACTTTACAACTGTATACGTCTAACTAGTTGTCTGAGTTAATAGTGGAGTGTTTACGGTTTCATACCTTAAAATAAAAACTGAACTCTTATATGATCATTTAGTTATCAGTTTGAAATTGATATCAAATAGTTATGTCTTTCTTTGTATGGTTTGTAAACTTGTAGTGGCGGTGTAAGAATAATAGGTCGGGGAAAAGGTTTCTTCGTATTTTATATACAAATTGAAGACATAATTTTTCAAAGTTTAATTAGATTATTATATGTATGTAATTTTGTTCAGTAACTTGTTGCCATCTTGAAGGTAGTGACATATGTCATTCAGTTGCTGTAGAAATTTTGGGGTTTTTGATCAAAAAATGTCACAAGAAGTTTTGACAGTCCTCTCTTGATGTTAACTTAAAAGAATTCTGAAGCGATTGAAACAGGTAAAAATCTGAGGCTGCAAGGCCACAACTATATGGTGAATGCAATAACACTTCCCAACCGAGCTCTCTCAATTTTTTCTGACAGGCCAAAGATGTGTGTGGTCTAGCGTTATTATGATAAAAGTACATTCCTTTTGTGTTGATCAATTCCAGCTGTTTTTTTTTTCATTTTCTTGCTTGATTCTCATTAGTTGTTAGTAGTAGATATTCAAATCGATGGTTTTATTTGACGGTAAAGTCATAATAAACGATGTCCTTCCAAGTTCACCATAAACACAGCATCACTTTATTGGGTGTTAATGTTGTTTTCACCACAGTCTTTGGAGCTTGACTACCCTTTGACTGTGATCTTTTTGCACGTTGTTGTCGTAGGTGATCCACTTTTTATCACAAGTGATCAATCAATTCAAAAATGATTCGGTTTCATTACGTTTCAAAAGAGAATCGCAAATAAGTACACGATTCATTAGGTTTATTCCAGTGAGATCATGTTTTACATATAAATATCGAGCTTTTTGTATAGCCAGACTTTTTCAAATGGGTCGAAACTATTTTTGGGTCAATCCTCAATTCGTCGACGTCGACTATGTTATAATTATTAATACGCCGATCTTGCTTCACTTTTCAAAAATGGCTCGACTTTACCCGCAGGAGATCGACCAAAACTAGCTGCATCTTAAAAATCAAAATTTCCGGAATAAAAACGCTTGAACTAACATTGTGCTACTCTTACTGACACTGTATTAGGTCCATAAACGTCACAAACTTTTTTCGTTGCTTGAGCCGTATTTTTCCCTTTTCAGAATGTATAGAAGTTGTTCGTAAATTTACTCATTTTGGCGGATAGGAACATAATTGTAAAATGGCGGTAAGTATTTATTACTCTTAATTTTTCTTTTTCTTAATGTCCCACATATGTAATATACTATGTATATACTACATTATATATATATTTTTTTAATATATAAAAGTTTATTTGTGACAGTTTTACTTTGAGTAGGTATAAATACATTAAAAATAGACATATAAATGTGTATAGCTTGTCGTTCTTGGAGCCCAAAGGTTATTTAACAAGTGTAAACAAACAGTAAAAATGTAGGTAATTTACGTCAATAAATTAACACAAGACTAAATGCGTACAAATATAGTATTTCACATATTATAGAAGACATGATTAAAATCACCCGCTATAGAAATAAAATGAAAATAATATTATCTGCTATGTTATGTGCCAGCCAACTAACTTAATTATCCTTTCAGTTGAACAGCCTGGCCTTTTCACTGTTAACTACCAACCTGAATGTTTTTCAGCCCATGCGATGCAACCGATGCATTTAATACAACATTTCATGCCTAATTATGCACTATGTGCTATTATATAAATGTATGTGGCTGGGATGGCCCAAGAGCCAACCTAGCCGCACCATAACCTGCTGTCGCCGATATTACGAGTAAGGCGCTACTCCTAGCGGACGGCCTTGAGCGTTCGGTCCTATACAATCCACGCGCTCTCGCTACAATATATCGCGTAAGAAATAGGCCCAAATTTTTGGAATTATTTGAATTGAAAAAGAAAGGCGAACTTAAGAAATTAAATAAAACGTTAATAATATACATTTTCAAATTATCTATCTACTGTTAATTTTACTATGTTAATGTTACTGTAATCCTCAAATGTTTAGAGCGTTGCCTTTAGCAATAGATGCATGTAATCAATAATTTTAGTCATTTTTTAAAATTTGATTTTAAATGTATTTATAAGACATAAAAACAAATTAGATCAATCAATCAATCAATCAATGGAATCTGATGGAATGTGATGATAGGATATCGAAACATAATAATGTGCTTTTAGACGTAATTTATTTCTCATAACTAATGAGATAATAGTCTCTGAAAAACGCACTATCGCAAGGTTTTGGTCGGGGTATCGCCTTAAGTTAGTTGCAATGTTGTATTAGACGCATCGGCTGATTATTATTCAGGCCGCTAGCTGAATGGCTAGGCTAGGCGGTTAACTGAAAGGCTAATTATCTAAGCTAGTTGGCTGCGACATACACACTCAATGTCTTTATTCTACGAAGCGCTAAAGGAGCACTACTTTGTAGTAAAAATATTATTTTAAAACAACAAGTGTGACTAATCAATCTTCCGCTTTTGAATCATTAAACATATGATAACAAAATTCAATCGAATTTGTAATCAATCATTCCAAATTTAGTAAATGAATGTACTTTCGAAAATATTAAGAAATATAGCTTCTCTCAAGGTCATTGTAGGAACGTGAATTAAAAGTGAATCAAAGAAATGTAGCGCGATTACAAAAGAAAATATACGTATAATATATAGATTCAAAGTTGGGGGGCAACATTGGTAGTTTGCTCCTGTTGACCAAAAGTTGGTAATGGTGAGTGAAGGCAGGGGATGCGGAGAGGCTGTGCCAGCTTCAATGAGCGCGATTCATTGCGCTCCAGGGTCCCAGGTTACCAGGGTGCCGCCGCCGTGAAAAGTGTTACCACCGTGACAAGGATAATAGCCGAAGCGAGCACGCAGCCAGAGTTGATAAACATTCGCAGTTCGCTAAGAATCGGACGTAAGCAGCCAATCGTCTGCTTGGGAGTGATGCACTGCTCGCCATTCTTTCCATTCAGCAATCGACCACAACAGGAGGCAGGCAAATCTCAACGATGCTGGTACCAATCAGTGTACGATTGAACTCCACAACACTTCAGCTCAATTTGCATGGCAGAAAAAGCACTCCGCACAGCCGGATCGAACATTTCATGTGCCATTGCGCGTAGCATGCTCGCATTGACGGTGGCCGGTTCCCGAGCCGCTTTCGACAGTCCTGTGATAGCTGACATCCCGCTGGACAAAAGTATAGTAGATGTTGTGACTGGCAACATTAGCGCAGCTGTAATTGATATAGATTTAGGGTGGTATGGCACTAGAGTCGCGAGCCAACAGGAAGGTAAACATAAAAAGGCTCCAGCAATAAATAGAATACTGGCACCTAGCTCCGCACCCAGGTCCGTGGTCCAAAAATAATAGGACATGCAAAGTAGGCTGAAAGCCGTTGCTCCGCCGAGAACAGCGCCGCCACTAAGCAATAGTCCGGCACATACAAACATAACCAAACCGCTGCTTCTCATTGTGATGTGAGTTACAATATTTTTTATTTAATAATGTTTTCTAACTAGATAATTCAATTAATAATTTACTAAGTTTATATATAAGTGATGATAATAAATGATGAAGTAGTTATTAGGTAGAAGCTGCTGCTGACATCCTTTTTGTTACCATTTGTCGCCTCTCACGATACCCACGGGACGGTAGTGGGTAGTGAATAATAACTCTGGAAAAAATGTCTACATACGGCAAGCAGTGAAGGACCACGTTTCAGTTCCATAAGTCATCACTGGCAACATGAATTGATTGTACAGTCTCGTATCGTTTCATGGACTGTGGATATTATAGAACAATTAAACTAACTTCTCAGACCCTTAACATCTGGGAATGTTAAATCTTAAAAATTACACTGAACCAGTGTGGATTCACTAGTAACGTAAGCACTACAGATGCAATTCACTCGGTGAAAATACTTATGGAAAAGTACAAGTCACACAAACAAGATTTTCACATTATTATAATTGATCTTAAAAAAGCGATCCACCAAGTCCCTCGAGAACTAATCTGGCAAGCACTAAGAGCGCAATTGGTGCAGGAGCATTATATTGAGCTCCTTAAATATCTGTACCATAATGTAACAACAAAAGTGGTCACCCCAGCAGGGACAAGTGAAACATTTAAAATTGGAGTGGGGGTTCACCAGAGCTCGAGCTTCAACTTCAATTCAACCTATTAATAGAATATATCACTGTGGATACTCAGAAATCAGCACCATGGTAACATCCATACGCCGACGATGTATTTTTTATAGCCGAATCGTTGGCAGAAGTACAATCAGACCTGACAGTATGGCAGGAATCCTTTGAAAGAAGAGAAATGAGAGTCAATAGAGAGAGGACTGAGAACACGTACTCAAACCGCCCATATAAGTGCTATGCCATGCCCATCTATCGAAGTTAGACCTCTTAAGGGAGTTTAAGAGTTTAAGTATAATATCGGATAAATGCATGTATAGAAAGAAACATACAAAATAAAACCCAAACAGCTTGGTTGAAATGGAGATCACTGTCTGGCATTCTAATAAAATAAAGGACGTGGTATACAAAAGAGCAGTAAGATCAACTCTGCTATATGGATTTGAGTGCTAGCCGATGAGAAAGACGAATAAACAGAAAATTCACGTCACTGAGATGAAAATACTACGTTGGTCTGGAGAAGTTTCTAGAACGAATAAAATAAGAAACAATTATATTCATGATAGTTTCAAGGTTACCATGGTGCACGAAAAATTTGGAGACCGTATGCGCTGATGTGGACACGTGATGAGACGAGATGATGACCATATGAATAAAAGAGTTAGGAACATATAAGAGGGTAAAATACACCACCACAACCACCAACGTTATTGGTTGGCCAAACACCAATAACCTGGCAAACACTACAAACTACCTGAGTTTTACTAACAGGTCAGAAGGGACCACCCACAACCGCACAATATGCTGTATGATTACCAGGAGAGCTGACCGCAATTAAATTGGGACAGTAGCCAGGAAAAAAAGAAGAGAGAAAAAATTTACAATGATATTTGTTTTTATAGATATCCAAATATTTTTTTAGAAGAGGGGCAAACGATCACGTGGTATACTTAATTTATTGCGTGGTAGAGCCATGCTGCACTTATATTGGTAGTATAGTTGTAGCACGAATGGGTCGGCTCGACCGGGGAAGAACCACGATCTCACTGAAATACTCGCGTAAAATAGTAGCTTATTGCTGCTATGTTTCATATGGTGAGTGTAGAGAACCGGAGATCCTTTTTACTGGAAACAAGGCATTTCATTTTAGCCCTCACGGGTGACAACGCTTCTGTATTTTGATTCGTAAGCGAGGATATATGTAGAAGTCTATGGGGCACAGCAATCACTTACCATCAGATGGACTGTGTGCTCGTTTGTAACCCTTCTTCTTCTTTTTCTGTAATCTCTTCTATTAAAAAATAATGGTAAATGACTAAAGGCGCCCATGAACATTTGAAAAACGAGAGAAATTGCAGGTGCATGCAGTTTTATTTAAAAGGAGCTCCTGTTTCAGGTCCTTAAGCCGTATAGTCTGGTCGCTGGTGAAAGCAGATTCCACGAAGTAGGCACACGAGAGAGAAAACTTCTGTAAAGTTGCAACTATCTGACACTGTGTGTGTGTCACTGTATGTGTAGAAAATCAAACCAGCAAAATTGATAAACCAGCATCCAACATCACATAAAAAAGAACTCGTTCACAAAAGACGGTTATTTTAGAGCGTGGCTTGAATAACCAATATGAATCAGAACAACACACGCAAATTCTCAAATAACAGCACAGAGTAGCTGACTCGGATCTAATCTTAAAGTAACGTACTTTGAGAAAAAATGTCATTTGAAATCGTCTTTGGGTCGACACTGAAAGTGTTATAACTCGAGGCACGTAGATGTCGATACAAGAAGTCTATCCCTCTCAGACTTAAAATACGTACTAAACTCAAGAATGTATTATATTGTAATACACAATTGTTATTGATATAAAATTAATCAAATCAATGATGTATTATTTTAAATTTTGGTTTTGATTAGTGGTATCACAATTGTAATAAAACAAATTATATCTTGTATTTTTGTAATATTGGTGTAATATCTGTCGTGGGGTAGTTGTGTAGAAGAATCTAACACTCTATTTCGTCTCATGGGTGAGTAGGTGAGAATTGGGGCTTCTGCGTCACTTGCTCTCGCTTCGCTCGAGCTACATGCCGCTGAAGGCCCCAATGTCCCAAAATGGAGAGACATTAGAGGTCTAAATTTTTAAATCTAATTTTCGAACCGCTTTTTTTATGTTTGCTCCATTTCTAATACCGTTTCATTCGGAATCTCAAATAAAAATGGTTCAATAATATAACAACAAAATATGAAGGCTAATCTATTTCATCGTTAAAAATGCAAGGTAGTACAAAAAACTGTTACTTTAATAATAAGTACTAATCGTTAGCGGTCTGAAACTATATTTTTTCTTCTTCTCGAACACAAAGGTAGTTTAAATTAAAAGATGAAGTGTTTATTTACATATAAATATTTTATTGGTAAATCAAACAATCATTTTGTTTTCAAAACACCATTTCTTAATACATAAAACATTTTTAACGCACATATTTTCTCATGAGTAGAACAGTTATACAGTAAAGTATCTTTACCATAAAGTTCACAAAGAGTATTTAAAATTGGGATCTCCTAAGCAACTTCTATCTACGATAGTATTATTTTCATCACAAATATCTTGCACCCATTTAATTTATTCACATCCTTTTAAAAAATCTTTTTATCTTCAAATATGTCTTTACAATTCTGTGAAACTCTTTATAATCAACAAACTCCTCACTCCATCGATACCCTCTGTGCTTTTCAATCCAGCCAATTTGTTTTTTCTCTTCAAGAGATAGTAAAGTGAATGGGTAAGGTGGTTTAATTAGGAAACTCCTTTACTATAAATTATTTTTTGCTATTTTTGAAGCCTTGAAAATCGACGAATATTGTATTGCTATTCATGATATTTTCTTAACGATATTACTCAGTGGTTTGTATTCAAATATATAGTCGTTTAATATCAAGCAATAAGCGGTTGTCTGGTCTGGTATTTCTTGGTCTGTTTCGATTTCAACTCTCATATCGGTCGAAACTTTTAAAGTTTCGTGTTGTCTTGAATAATCACAAATAATGGAGCCACGTCTCTGAACTCCTTTAAACCCATCAACGGCTCTGACCGGCGTTCATGATACGACTGTTGAAATCTCGCATACTGATCGTATTATAAAGTAAACTTATCTTCCTGACAGTAACCCCTCATAATCAATATGATGAATTTAAAAAGACTCTTACATCTCGTACGTGACAATGATCAAACTCTATAATTTCGCGTTATGTTTGCGGTTGGTTTGTAAGGCAATGACCACAAATCGTGGTTTCTCTATTTGCGATGAAGTTTTTATAGACGAAGTATGTTTACGTGTTTTGGGTAGCAATGGATACTCATATAAGTCCCAGGAACGGAATGCCAATGGAATAGCTCTATCTTTCTCTAAATGTTTTAATAGGCTGATTCTTTCACGATCTGATACTTTGATGTGTGGAACTCGCCAAACAATTTTATTTACCTATTATAATATCTTCTACAACTTCACCTGAAACTTGATCGCATTAAGATTTGTATTGCTTCGTAATAAAAAAAATTTTTGATAAAAAAAATAAAAAAAAAAAAAAAAAAATATCAAAATTTTTCATAATCTTCTGCAAATCCTTATATCTTGTTCAATGGTATAGACGCGGAAAACGCTCCACCGCTAGTATTGCTTGTTCCGCCAGTTGACTAGCCCCAAACTCGAGCACATTTGGATTCATTTACATTTAAGGATAGGTAAGATTTTATTGTAGTAGTGACACCAGCATTCTTAATTTTATCTATTTCTACTCCATTAAGTTCATATCGTATGTCTTGAAAAAGAAATAGCATAGGGTTATTGACAAAATGTACGTTTGATACCTTTTCTTTTGTGGTGCTGTTGTAAACGTTCACCTTTCCCTCGATATATAAACTACTGAGTGAAGGTAGTACGTACAGGTCTTGCTGATTAATAGGAATACGTATTTCGTCATTCTTGTTAAAACTAGTTACATATGGTTTGTATTAATGATACTCAAAACTTTCAACGCTGTTATCGTATGATGTTTGTTGAGATACGTTTAAAATATTCATTTTATCAAGCCAACTAGCTTAAGAAATTCTTTGTTAGACTTGGTAAGCTTCTTTTTTAGCTGAAGAGGTGTGCCTTTATGAGATTTTCTTTTAAAACTGGCTTGGATACACGAAGTAGACGGGCTTTTATTGAAATTTATCATATTTTTTTTGGAAATGTAAATACAGTTGTACTTCTTCACCTCGTAAATTTATCTCTTTATTCTCAGCGTTCAATAACTTTATATTGATAGTACTTATGGAACTTTGG